CGGAGCTCAGCAAGCCGGGCGCGAGTGAATCGGCGGGCTGCCCTGTTCCGGGCTCCCTCCCGCTCGCCGTCTTCCCGCGCCGCGCTCCGGTCTCCTCCCTGACTCACACACGGCCTCCCGTCGCCGCCCGGCTCGGGGTGGCAGCCATTCCCCCGTCGCCAACCGCTTTTCCGAGTCCCGGCCCCCCACTCACCTCCGCTGCGCCGCAGCCCGCACCTTCCCCAGCTGCTCGGCCTTCCAGATTGGCCGTCCCGGGACCTTATGCCAATCAGCCAATCCCCGCCCCTGGCCGGGCCCAGGCTGACCAGTGAGAGGCTCGTTGCGGCCTGGGGGCGGGCTCAGGAGCGGCGGGCCGAAGGCGTGTCTGCCCCCACTTCAACCGCGCCGGCTACCTTTCCGGACCTCTGTGCGCACGCGCGGAGCACAGTAAGGGGCGTGTGCTTTTGCGTGGCTGGTGCTTTGTTGTCTTCAGTGCTTCAGCCCGGGTTACTTTTGTTGGTAAACTTCGCCCGTGAAGGGCGTCGGAAGACCCACATTCCGAGTGTAGTCGCAAGTGTGGGCCCGCCGAAAGGAGATGGGTCTTCGACCTAATTTAGCCTGGGTCGAGCCCTTCTCATCCCACGCTCTGTGGGGACCTGTGATCGCCTGTCCGATCCTTATGTCGGGTCTTACATCCCGGATGTCCGTTCTAGAGAAGTGGGAATGCCGTGCTGCTCAGGGAATGAAGAGTTTCCTTTCCTTTCCTCAAAGTCAGCCTAATTGGTACACTTTTGTCTGCTTGGTTGGCTTGGTTTCTTTCGAAACAGGCTTTCTCTATCTGGTCTGTCCCAGCACGCGCTCTGTAGACCGGTCTTGTCCTTGAACTCATGGAGTTCTGCCTGTCTCTGGGATTAAAGGCGTGGGTCTCCACGGCCAGGGTGTTTGTGCACGTGCTTTTTAATGAATGGCTATTCTGAGACCCTCTAGATTTCGAATAACCTTGCCTCGAAAATACGACCTATCCGTGCCTAATTAGCCATAAGCATGGTAATGTGTGTGGGCGCGATAAGACGTGAATATGGAGGGGAAACCTATCGGTATTTCAAAAGGTTGTTGCTAGTTGGGTGTGGTGACTCGTGCCTGTAATCCTAGCAGTTTGGAGGTGGAGGCCTGAGGATCTGGAAAGCCAGCCTATGCCACTGGAAAGAAACCCTAAGTCCAAACAAAAAAGGGGGGAAAGGTGGGGGTGGGCAGCGGCTGTTGTCACTTAGCCTTTTCTCCTACCCTCTCTTTGGCAGATGATTCCGAAGTAGCTGGGCGAGCCCTGGAGCGCTGGTGTTCTTGCCCTGGATGGCCTAAATTCCTCCTGGCTAGGGCTTTGTATTTCAACAAGAGCTCCTTTTCAATAAAGGCTTTGGGAGCCCACTCTGACAGTACAAACTTTTTGTTCTTTTGTGTTGTTTTTTAAAATGTTGAACCACACCCTGAGTGAGCCTGCTGTATAGGGAGATAAAGACAGCATCACCATATGTGATCAAATGTTATAAAGTAAGACCATGACTTTCACACCTTGCTTTATCCTCAAGTGCCCTGGAAGGGCCCTGGGCTATTTGAAGGTATGGATGAAGGCGAAAGAACTCAAACCTGAGCAATTTCATCACAAGTTATTGTTTCTCCCGATAATGGAATCGTTTCCCAAAAAAAAAAAAAAAAAAAAAAAAAAAAAAAAAATGACCTAGCTGGGCCATCTCATTCAGTCCTGTGACACAAAGGGCCTATTAACATTACTTGGGCCTGCTGTCAAACTATCCTGTGGTGAAGAAGGCACGAGAGGGTTTGGAATGTGTGGAACCAGGAACTGATCTAGGAGAAAGTCCTGCAGTCTTTACGCTTTTGAACTTTTAAACTTTGCTTTTTGAAAGAAATAAAGATATTTTATAATAACTTTAGTTTTACAGAGTGGTGGCAAAGGGTAGAGAAAATCCTGGTGTTCTCTTCACCCAGTGCCCCCTAATCTTACATTTCTGTAATTTCTGTGACACATTTTCAGAGTTAGAACCCAACACTCGTACATTATTATTGACCTGGCTGGTTGTCAGAGCTGAGTTATGAGAAAGGAAGGAGCCTCAATTGGGAAAATGCCTCCATAGGATCCAACTGTAAAGCATTTTCTCAATTAGTGATTGATGGGGAAAGGCCCAACCCATTGTGAATGAGGCCATCCCTGGGCTGGTGGTCCTGGGTTCTATCAGAAAGCAGACTGAGCAAGTCATGAGAAGCAAGCCAGTAAGTAGCACCCCTCCGTGGCCTCTGTGTCAGCTCCTGCCTCCAGGTCCCTGCCTTGTTTAAGTTCCTGTCCTGACTTCCTTTGGTACTGAACAGCAATGTGGAAGTGTAAGCCGAATAAATCCTTTCTTCCCCAACTTGCTTTTTTAGTCATGGTGTTTCATTGAAGTAATAGAAACTAAGATAATTACTGACAAAAACTCCAGACTTTTTATTTTATTTTATTTTATTTGTTTTAGACTTATTTATTTCGCATGCATTGGTGTTTTGCCTGCATGTATGTTTGTATAAGGATGCCAGATCCTCTGGAACTGGAATTTCAGTCAGATGTGAACTGCAATATGGATGCTGGGGATTGAACCCAGGTCATCTGGAAGAGCAGCTGGTGCTCTTAACTGCTGAACCATCTCTCCAGCCCTATTCAGATTTATCAATGCAAAGACTGCGTGCTTAATCGTAAAACTACCTTCGTCCCTCTGGTAGTTTCCCAGTCTTACTTTTCATGGCTTACAGTTTTGAGACATTTGATCAGGTATTGTAAAATATTCCTTAATTTGAATTTTGAATTTTTATATAATTAGAGTGTGATTACAGGATTTGAGGGAAGTACTACATATAAAACCTGACTCACATAATACCAAAGGGAACATGCTATCAGCATGACTTTATTTTATTTTATTTATTTGTTTGTTTCCTTTTTTTTGAGATAGGGTTTCTCTTAGCTTTGGAGCCTGTCCTATAACTCGCTCTTGTAGACCAAGCTGGCCTCGAACTCACAGAGATTCACCTGCCTCTGCCTCCCAAGTGCTGGGATTAAAAGCGTGTGCCACCACCGCCCAGCTAAGCATGGCATATTACTAGTGATGCTTTGACCATCTGAAAATGGTATATAGTGTTTGCTAGTTTCTCCACTGTATGGTTGCACTTTTTTGCCCCATTTCTTGTGTGTGTGTGTGTGTGTGTGTGTGTGTGTGCGTGCATGCGCGCGCGCGCGTGTGTGTGTGTCTGTGTGTGTGTGTATGAGAGAGAGAAAAAAAGAATTGGTGTAGAAGGTCCTTCTGTATTTGTATTGCTTTCATTGGTTGAATAAAGAAAACTGCCTTGGCCTTTTGATAGGGCAGACTTAGACAGGTGGAATAGACAGAACAGAATGCCAGGAAGAAGGGCAGTATGGCAGACGCCATGAATCTCCAGCCTGAGATGAACATAGGTTAGAATCTTGCCGGTAAGCCACAGTCACGTGGTGATACACAGATTTAAAAGAAATGGGTTAATCAAGATGTGAGAGTTAGCCAAGAAGAGTCTAGAGCTAATGGGCCAGGCAGTAATTTAATTAATACAATTTCTGTGTGATTATTTCAGGTATAAGCTAACCAGGCGGGACAGAACAAAGGGGCCCCACACTCCTACAACAAGACTAGTCCTAAGTACTGCCCACACTTAAGAGAACTATAGGATCTCATATCTTGAAGGGGCCCTTGAGTGCATTACTACATTATCTGCATTTCCAGTATAAGAGACATTTGCCTCCTTTCCTCGTTTTCAGTGATCAGTATAGACCTACATTTGTGTATGTTGTCTTAAATTTATCTTCTGATTTTTATTTCTTTGCACAAGCACTCATGAAGCCTGTTAAGGTGGCGTGTGTGGCCATTTTGCTTTTTGGCTATGTCCTTTCTTCTAGAACTACAAGATGCTGCAGGCTCATTTTGTGTATTCCTTGCCCCAAGCACTACAATTAACCCCTTTCTCCAAGGAGCCCTAGAATGTTTAAAATTAAAGACTTAAGTACCAAGAATCCTGGTCACTGCCAAATATCTTTGAATTTAGATGAGCTGATTAATTTCACTGTGTTTTGTTTTTTAAAGTTATTTGATGGGTTAGGGATATGGTTCAGTGATTAAGAGCTCTGACTGCCCTTCCAAAGGTCCTGAGTTCAATTCCCAGCAACCACATGATGGCTCACAATCATCCGTAATGGAATCTGATGCCCTCTTCTGGTATGTAGGTGTATATGCAAATAGAACTCTCCTATACATAAAACACGTAAAGATTTAAAAAGAATTACTAGTATTTGTGTATATCTGTATGAGGAGGTGGTCTGTGCATGTGTGTAGAAGCCAGGAAGGGACATGAGGTGTCCTCTAATTCTGTTCACCTATTCTTTTGAAGCAAAATCTCTCCTTGAATCTGGGTCATGCATTTTCTTATCTAGGTTACCTCAAAGCTGGTGTTACATGTGGTGGGTCCTGGGGTCTTAATTCTTCTCATGATTGCATAGCAAGTGCTCTTACCTCCTGAACCATCTCTCCAACCTCTTATCATGTTTAATAACTCTTGGTTTACAGCCCTATGATAGCTACCTTCTGAAGTGACCCGCACTAAGCTCCACCTCCTGATAGAACTCCTCTCGGAACGTGGGCTGGAGTTAGTGACTTAGTTCTTATGAACAGAAAATGTCAAATATTAAAGGGCAAGTCATTTGGGAATATTAGAAGAAAATGGACTTTGTTTTTTGTTTGTTTGTTGTATAGTTGATCCTGGAGGTTTGTTTTGTTTTGTTTTCCTAAACGAATGGTTCAGCTTTTCTGGAAGAGTCCTGAATAACTGAAGTTCATCTGCTGTTTGGATAAAGAGCAGGACATGAGCTGTTGCCTTGTCAAGCTCATTTGATGTATAAAGGACAGGGAAATGATTCAGTAGGTAAAGCCTGTTGCCACCAAGAGTAATAGCCTGCATCTGATCCTGGTACCCATAAAACAAAGGGAGAAAAGCATTTCTGTGTCACTCACGCATGCGCGCGCGCGCACACACACACACACACACACACACACACCTCCCATGCACAAAATAAACATAGGAAAGAAATATTTTCATTTGTCTTTGTGTGACTCCCATCCCATAAGGCCAGCTTGAAGAATCGTTGAGGAATGAGTGCTTAAAATCTGCCAAATTCTAAAGCCAATTTCAGACTTATCACAAAGACCCAAAAATGTCACCATGAAGGACAAAAACAAACTCCTGTACTTGTTTGTGGTCCACTGTTTCATAAAGCAGGGGACAGACTAGTGACCACATTAACCTGTCTCCCATGCCAGGCTGAGTGACAGCCCCATTTGGTGATATGGATTAATTTATCTACATGTGGCCTCTTCTAGCAATCAAGGTTCATTTCTTCTTGTTTTACTTTTACCCTTAGCCCCAGCTGCCTCGTGGTAGGAAATAAAATCCACTGAGATGAGTCTCACAGGGTTCTTGGTTAGAATCAGGCAAAACTTTCAGGGTCAGTTTTAATCCAAATATGACAAAATGTCACATACACAAAAGAAAAAAAAATAGGACTACTGGAGTATCTGTCAATGATGGGCAGAGGCAATAGCTCCGTGCTGGTGCCTGCAGCAGCTCAAGATGTTCTGGGGTTCATGACTGATGCAGAAAAGAGTTACAAGACTAGTCAGCTTGAGAGTTGGAGATTTTATTAAAGGCGTTTTATGGCTGGGGATATGATCCTGTAGGTGAAGCACTTACTCTGCAACCTGAAGACCTGAGTTTGGACCTGCAGGACCCACATAAAGCCAGGTATACTATTATCCCAACCTCAACATCTGCGAGAACAGAATTTTTCTGTGTGTTCATGTAACCTTTTGTAGATGGAAGTCTCTGTCCCACCTGGTCCCACAGTCATTCAGTCCCAAAGAAACACCCAGAGGCTTATATTAATAATAAACTATTTGGCCTATTAGCATAGGCTTATTGTTAACTATCTCTTTCAACTTTAATTAATAATTCATATCTATGTTTAGCCATGTGAGGCATTCTCATCTTGCTTCCTCTGCGTCAGGGTGGCCACTGCAGACTGAGCCTTTCCTCTTCCCAGAATTCTCCTATTCTGATCACCCCACCTGTACTTCCTGCCTGGCCACTGGCCAATCAGAGTTTTATTAAACTAATATGAGTGACAAATCCATTATTCCACAGCAACCTTTGACTCACATTTATTTATTTTTTGTTTTGTTTTACTTGCCTATTGCTTAACTTTTTGTTGTTTGTCTTCTCTTGTATTGTGGTTCCATTTATGTAGTTCATGCTGGCCTTGCTATGTAAGTAAGGATCAGCTTGGACTGATCATCCTGACTTTGCCTCTCTGGTTCTGG